AGTACAAGACTAGCTCCAGCAGGAGCCATGGAGTATCCTGACACAGAAAAGCTTGTAGTGTTACCACTTGAAGAATAATAAATAGCTCATTATTTCCTGACTACAAGGAATGGAAAACTGATTGTTTGAGGAAACAGGATGATCATCCTTAAATGTGGCAGTGCCTCTGCAGGGCACACACATAACTGGAACACACACCAGCATGTCTGTTGATATTTTGTCCAGCATTTATTCTGTTTTTTAATTTCACCATTAGAAACCAAGAGTTTTATATATATATATATATATAAATATATAACTTCCATGTATTTTAACCTTGTTTCAGAACGACCTTGCTGTGCAAAAGAAGAAAATTGAGGAAGTTGAAACCTGGTTAAAAAACCACATATTTCAGAGGCAGCCAAAACAGGTAAACTTGCTAAAATTGGAACTGGAGGCATCAAACCATATAAATGATGGATGCAGTTTCAGGTTCAGAGAGAATAGGGAGATAGTGACTGTGTTTCATTGTAAGAAATACTCTAAGAACATGGGTTAGAGGTCATACATTTATTTTGGGCTTAAGCTCCTAAGAGGTGGATTCTGATTTTGCTCAGAAGTACTGCTTTCTGGCATCCAGTCATAAATCACAACTATTCAGTATGTGCTTGAAGCTACATTTGATCTGCCAGGTTGATTTTTAAGTCTCGTGACACATCTCCTGGTGTAAGGATGGTGAGGATGTTTTTAATTTCTATTGATAAGACATTCTTATCACATTCTTAGACACAAATTGCCGGCCTTGCCTGGTGTTTTCCAGAGCTGGTTCTTGAGGTGAGTGTCTGCTGTGTTGGCAGTCACATGCAGTTTATTTTCCAGAGGCAGTAGGAACTGAGCAAGGGTCTCAGAGTCCTGGCCTGGTTCTCTCTGTCTGAGCACTCAGCAGGTGAATTAACAGCAGAAGATGTGTGACTGGGGTTTCACTGGGAGGGAGGATCATTGCCAGAAAAACAGGAAAAGCTCAGCCAGTATCAATCCTTAGCCAGTGGTCAGTCTTAATTTGTCACATCTGTGGTTGTGTTGTATGTCTGTGTGTCAGGTTGGCTCGATCTTGCTGCTGACTGGCCCTCCTGGCTGTGGAAAAACAGCAACTCTGCACATTCTAGCCAGAGATCTTGGCCTTCAGGTGCAAGAATGGACCAATCCACTCTCTCTGGACTTCACAAAGGAAGACTTGAGGAGCATGTTTGGCCACGGTAAGTATTTTGGGGGTTTATCTTTTTGATCTTTTATTTCCCCTTCCAGTTACTTATGTGGGTTTTCTGTCTTGTATTTTTGCTTCATTTCTGTCTGTCACGTATGAAATCAGATCCACATCCATGTAACTCCATTCCTTAGTGTTTAATTAGAATCTTTCTGAGGCTTTTATCTGGAAGGGGATTTAGGTTTTTTTACATTGTTTCATCTAAAATAATTGACAATTCAAATCAGTATAGAGACCTCTGTAATAGCCTGGATGTAATCTGAACCAAATAAATGAAAACAGGTAAGTGTGTCTGTCTGGGTTCTCAATTGAATTACACCCCTTTAAAAATTCTCCTGTGTTTGTCACATATTTGCAAAAAGGGCTTGTTCAGTGCTGCTGTCAGAAAATAGCATGGGTGGGTATTAGCTCGTGTGGGTATTTATATTTTACTTGCCATAATATAGAATACATATTTTTAATTAGTTTTCTTTTTCAGACTCAAATTTTCATACGTTTCCGAGTCAGGCCCAAGCAGCTCTCTTTCAAGATTTTCTATTAAGAGCAAATAAGTATAACAAACTTCAGATGCTTGGGGAGTCCTCAGAAAATGATAAAAAGCTTATTCTTATTGAAGTAAGTGAAAACTTGTGCAATGTTGTGTTTCAAACAGTACCTTTTGTTGTAATATTGGCTTGCTGACTAGCCTCAGATGCTGGATTGGTGTTTCCCAAAGTGAGCCTGCTTTATTTACTGCAGGTGAGATCTTGATTGCTGTTTGTGTCTCTGCAGCAGTCTAGAGCCACGTCCTGCCTGTAGTTAGTTATGCCACAGAAGCAAGTAGTGAGGCAGAAATGGGAGTCTGGTGTGAGCACAGAAATGCATAACACAGTGTCAAAAAGTAGATCCATGTTGAGAAGTCATTTCCCACAGTTCTGGATTATTTAATTTCTAGAAGTATGTATGTGTATAAACAGGAAGAGTGGAAAACACACCACTGTTCCTGTTTTTTAATGATGCAGGAGGGTGTAGGGTACACTTGAGAATGAACACAGACAGGAGCAGTTGAAATTTAGCACTTTCTGCCTGGTTTTACACAGGTGGTGTTGTTCAGGGCACAGGTGTGAACTGAGGGATGTGGGCAGGTACAGGACAAGCTTTTATTTGTACTTGCGTAGAAGTGTGCTTCAATAGCAACTTCTTTCTGAACTTTTCAATTCCTTTCCCAAGAGAAATTTTAGAAATTGGTAGTCAGGTTGTCTGTAAACTTTCAAGACCAAACCAGACAGAAATTCTGGCAGGGTAATGTGATGTACTGTAGAATTTAGGAAGTAGATTCTCTGAGATTTGTCTTTATTTAGTCACCTTCTTGTGCACGTCCTGTCACACCTCAGATGGGTCCTGCCCTCTTCCCTAAGGGAGCTGCTTCCTGGAGTGTTTGTCCTCTGGGTGAGACTCCTGTCCACAGGCAGTGCCATCACCCAAGGCTGTGTCTTAGGGAACTGAGACAGCAAGACAACATTGCTGTGTAGATGATCCTTTTCCTTAATGAGACACACTGTGCTTTGGGTTTTGTTTCCCTCTGCTGCTCCTCTGTCCATTGTCAGCTGTGTTTAAATGTAGTTGACAGCAAGCAAACCAGGAGTTAAAATTGTGTGGCAATGTAGTGTGCCATGAAGATCAGTCTGTGGAGGAGAGTATTTACATCTGCATGCCATGACAGCAGCTCTTTGTTTTGGACAGGACATTCCTAACCAATTCTACAGAGATCCTGGCAGCCTGCATGAAATCCTCAGGTCAGTGGCAAACGAGTTGTTAAGTGTGAGCTTTAGCAACCTGCAAAGCTGCAGCTTGATATTAATCACGTTTTGTTGTTCTGCTATGCAGGAGTTTTGTTCGCAGGAGTAGGTGCCCCCTGGTCTTTATAATCTCAGATAACTTCAGTGGAGACAGCAACCAGAGGTCCCTGTTCCCCGCTGAAATTGTAGAGGAGTTGTGTATATGCAATATTAGGTGAGACTTCTACCTCATTAAAACAAGGTACAGATAACTGAGAGGTTAGAAACTAATTAATTCTTTTTTAATGGAATTCAACAGTTTCAAGCCTATTGCACCAACAAATATGATGAAAGTTCTCAATCGAATAGCTGCAGCAGAAGCCAGTATGGTAAGTTTTCAAAGTTCTTAACTTCTGGTCAGGGCTAGGACCACAAAAAAATATGTTATTTTTGTTGCTGTATTTGATCTTTGATAGCAGAACCCCACATCTGCCCAAAGACAAAAAAAAGCTTTTTCCCCAGGGCACCAGAAAGCAAGGAACAAGCTGGAAAGATATCTTGTCTTTAATATTAGTTTCACTTGATCTGTGGTCCAAGTCTACCAAATTGCTTCTAAAAATTACTCTGGTTATTACAGTAATTACATAAATGAAACAAATAATAGGAAGAGATATAATCTTTCATGTATCCAGCAAGGCCAGAAGAGGTCATGAACCTAAATATTGTGTTGTTCCTGAACTGTTTTGATTACAAGCAGTATCATATTGAGTGACACTTTGCAAAGAATTATGTACATTTTTCTCTTTAATATTGTTATATAAATTGTGACAGTATGCTTAAACAAGTTAAGTTTTTTCAAGTTCACAGTATTCCGTATTTTGATCACATGGTGTCTGTTCATGGTGTGTGTCAGGGGTGGGTTCCCAGAGCCATGTTTAATTACTCCTTTTCCTGCTCTTGTATTGCTTTGAATATTGCTGTTTTTCCTGTTTCTTCTATTGCTGTTTTTCCTTGTAGAACAGAGAGAATTACACCCTTGACAGAACTTCTCTGGAGTTGCTTTGCAGGGGCTGTTCAGGTGACATAAGAAGTGCAATAAACAGCCTTCAGTTTTCCTCTACAAAAGGTAAAAATTAAGCTTTTGTTAGGTGGAGTGATATTTTGACCATTTCTGCTGCAAACAGGTTCTGTTCACAGCTGCAGCACAGGTGGGTGAGTTGCAGAAACGTTCTGGACACGCTTCTGTGGAGCAGGAATAAACACAGGGTGTGTGGGGGCCTGAGTGGGGCTCAGCTGCTGCAGGCTGGGCTGAAACCATGACACATGTGCATTGTGCTGACGTGATTTGATTAAATGCCCTCTTTTCCTCCTGGTATCTCTGCTATTTGTGTTTGCTGTTCAGAGTTTATATGATGCTGCCTTAGTTTGACAGGGATACTTTCATCTCTTGGTTTCTGCATTTCCTAAACTGCTGATTTTTCGAGCATTTTTCAAGTCAGTAGTTGTTAAGGAACTGGCGTGTGTAAGTTGCATTTCTAAAAGTTGCACTCTGGCGTGTTTGTTCGTTCTCAGCTCTGTGAAGTGGTGACATCATTTACATTAAACTTAGGCCTAAGGAAACAGACTCACCACTTGTCTTCTGCTGCATGTGGTAGAGCTAGTAATGGTGTTGTTAATGTCACACTTCTTTTTCCTCCCATTTGCTTTGCAAATAGCAAATGTGCTCATGGAATACGAGATTAAAGGTGGTCTCAAGCCCATTTTTCAAGAGGGAGAGTTTACTTTGAGTTTTAGGGTATACTGAAATTAGATGGGCAGTGTTAGTTATGTTACGCAAGGCAGAGAGTCAAGTTTCTACATTTAACTTGCATATGTTGAAGGTCAGTTATTCTGATGATGTCTTCAAGTGTACCAGGCTTGGATTGTTCTGTGTGAATCAGAAAAACAGAGGATTGCTCTCAGCAGGGTGATGATGCCATTAGAATGAGTGAATATTAGGTTGGTGATATCTGAGAAAAGCATGCAGCATCTCACTGCTGGACACATCCTCCAGAAAATCTAAATAATGTTAAAATAACCAGTTTGTGTAGTTTTAAATAAGTTTCCTTAGAAATGTAAAACCATGATAGTTAGAGCTGGGGAGAAAATAAAGGCATGATTTCAGAGCTCTGGTGTGTGAACTTTGGAGTGCACACTAAGCATTCTCCTCTCACATTTTCCCTAACATTGAGAAGATGTTTGAACAGAACATCTGTGGCTGTGCAGGTATTTCAGTGAGGTGAGTGATTGGTATTCCAGTGAGTTAGGTGATACTGTGCAAGTTGGGGGGTTAATTCTCCATCTCCTTGCTGGTCTCCTGAGTATGCAGCATTTGTTTTTATGTACATAAAGTGTGTTTCTTCATGTGTGTGTCTGTGTAAGCACCATTGATACATTCATTTTGTAACACTATTAATGGGTAAAATGCATCCATGGTAATTGTGGGAGAAAAGGAAATAAACACCTAAAGGATCACTTAGCTCAGTAAGGAACATTCAAATGCCACAAAATGAAATAGTGGGTGAAAATTTTCAAGTTTATTAACTTAGAGTAGAATAAGGGTTTTATTTCATGAGGTTCAAAACTTTGTAGAAGATAATGGGCAATTGAAAGAATCATCTAAATAAAAGGTTTTCTTTGCCACTTATATTTCAGGGAGGAAGGTTATTGTACAGATAATGCAGTAGGAGACAAAATTGATAAGTAAGCAGGATGTAACTGAAATAACAGTAGGTAACTGAAATATAATTTACAAATATTTGTACTTGTGCTTTTAAACATGAAATTTAAACATGGTCAAGTGGGGAATGTGTCAGAACTTGAAGGGATAAGCCTGAAGGCTTTTTTCAAAGACAGCTGTTTGTTGTTCAGAAAAGTGCTTGGTACCTCAGCTGTGGCTCAAAGGACAGAAGTGGAATTAAGGTAATGAGTGATGCTAATTTAGGTGACTGACTAATAAATGAGTTTTCTCATAGTGCTACCATTTATATAGCCTGTTGTGTTCCTTTTATTAGTACTATTTGTTCACACAGAACATTAGCAGCAGCATTATAGAAAACTCCTGCAGAATCATGTACTCTGTCTTGATTTTATTTTTTATTTTATTAATAGGCTGCTCATTGGAGAAAGAATTTTGGTCAAAGAAGAAGAAGAGCTCCACAATAAAATGTGACGAAACAGCAGTATCCAAAGTAAGAAAGAAAAGTAAATGTGATACCTCAGAAGACCAGGAGATACAAGCAATTGGTGGCAAGGATGCATCCATTTTTCTTTTCCATGCTCTGGGGAAAATTATTTATTGCAAAAGTAAGAAAACTTTGAGTTATTCTCCCTTTCAATGGGCAAAGCACATGAGCTGCTATTAGCTGGAGTTGCTAAAGTAAGGCTTTGGATGGGTTCTGTCTGGGATGTTTGGTCAGTTAGAACTGCACAAAATCAGCTACATCAGGGTCCTTCATGCCACTATGCATGAATTATGTACATAATGTAATGTACATGCTATGCATGTTTTGGTGGTAATTCCCAGTACTGGCTCCAAAACCAACTGAGGAGAAGTACTGAGGTGAGGGAATACAAAAATTATGTTGTTAGGTTTGTTATATGAAGCTTAATGCAGTTAATTGTGTAGTTGATGACTGTGTATTATTGACTATAGTAATTAAACACCTGTGTCTGTCCCAGGGCTTACTGGGATGGAAAAGGCTGTAATTTACTGCTGGTGGAGCTGGCAGTTGCCCACATTTGTGAACATAAAGGCTGTGCAATCCTTTTCAGGAGAGGCAGTGTCAGAAGCAGAGTGCCCTCAGCTGCCTGCCCACCTGTCAGGACAGCGCCGTGACACCTTGCTCATCCAGCCTGAGGTACTGCTGCAATGGCCCAGTTCAGCTGGGCCCCACAGGAGGGCTGCAGGTGCTCAGCCACGTGGGGCTCCTTGCTGCTCCCACCTGGTGTGCCCTCACTCTGAGTCAGGGAATCTCTCACCTGGGAGGGAGCCAGGCATGGCTGCACGGGGTCTGTGTCCCAGCTCCCTGACCTCCGTTATCACAGCTTTTTGTACAAGGGTCCTTTTCCTTACCCCCTGTACAATCCAAACTCTCCTTCTTCCTGACAGGAAATTGTGGAGAAATCACATATGTCTGGAAGCATGTTCAATCTATACCTTCACCAGAACTACGTGGACTTTTTTTCTGACATAGATGATGTAGTGAGAGCCAGCGACTATTTGAGCACTGCTGATGTCCTTTGCAGCAACTGGAGTGTAAGTGTCATCTTTGTATAGGCACACACTTGTCTTTAAGTACTTTGATATTGAGCTCTCAACTTTTCACTGCATTTTTGGGAATTTGCTGCAAACTTTGGGGTGTGAGTGATTTGAATTGTTAATGAATGCTGAAGAAGAGATGCAGAGCCAATGTTTTGTCCAGCTTCTGTCAGCATTTTACTACAATGGGTTGCAGTGTTTGTAGGACACTCTACAAAGTACTTTTGAGTAGAATATGTTTGTACTAAGCAAAGGAATCCAGCTGTTTCTTTTCTCAGCTGCTTTGAATACAAGTTTTGCAGTAATCAGGCTGCAGAGGGCTGTGCATGCTGTGTGTGTTGGAGTGCAGGTGAGCTGCCTGGAGCTCACACAAGGCCCTGTTTGTCCCTCAGGCACGGCTGGTGATGGAGAGCTACAGTGCCTCTGTGGCCACACGTGGGGTGATCCACTCCAACACCTCCAGGGCCTTTGCCCACCAGCAGGGGGGCATGGGCTTCCGACCCTTACACAAGCCACAGTGGTTTCTGATCAACAAAAAGGTAAAGCCTTCTTTGGTTTTTTTCTTAATTCTTTTTTCCCTAAGGTGCGACTGTTGAGTGGTGTACATCAAATGTGATCACTGACTTGCTAAACTTGTCAAATAATGTGACAGCGTTCACAGGGATCTTAGGATGGGGGGAGAGATGAGGATCTGACTCCACGTTTCAGAAGGCTGATTTATTATTTTATGATATATGTTACATTAAAACTATACTAAAAGAATAGAAGGGAGGATTTCATCAGAAGGCTGGCTAAGAATAGCATAAGAAAGAGCCTTTGTTATCATTCTGTCTCAGACTCTCTGTCCGACCCAGCTGACTGTGATTGGCCATTAATTAGAAACATCCAACATGGGCCAGTCAAAGATCTACTTGTTGCATTCCACAGCAGCAGATAATCAGTGTTTTCATTTTGTTCCTGCGGCCTCTCAGCTTCTCAAGAGGAAAAATGTTAAAGAATAGATTTTTCATAAAAGATGTCTGCGACAAAATATCCTAGTTTGAGATAATCTGGTTCTATAAAGCACTTGCTAGAAGAGCAGTTTGCATCACTCCTTTAATGTAAAAATAAATTGGAGGCCAGTGACAAATTCTGATGCCTGTGTCCAAGCTGGCATGTTCCTGGGAGAGTGTTAATCCTAAATTAATAGAGAGACAACTAAGTGCTGTTAAGTGTTCCTAGAACTGAGTCTGGTTTAGTGCAGTTTGAAGCACGTTGAACTGTTGTAAAAGTGTAAGAAATGCCTGCTCTTATGGTTTATGTGTTTATCAGAAAGAGCTCGTTCAGGTGACACAGCAGGTCCTGGCATTTTTTTACTTTTGAACTAATACATTGGCAAAAAACATTGGATGGGCTGAGAATTCTATAATCAAGGAATTTTTTTTTTTTAATTTTAATGCCCAGTAAAAGGCAAATTTGAAGGATTCTACCATTTTAAGATTGGCATGTTAACTGGTTACCTTTTCTTTATCTGGTCTCATTTTTCAGTAGCTCCCTGTAGCAGGCAGGAAGAAAGTCTGTTTGTTAGGGTACAGAACATCTACATTCTTAATGTTTTACCTGTTTTTTCATTGTGTTCCCCCCACCCCCACCACTTACAGTATCAGGAAAATTGCATTGCTGCAAAATCCCTGTTCTCAAGCTTCTGTTTACCGCCTGAGTGCCTTCAGACAGAGCTGCTGCCTTATCTTGCTATGTTAGCAAACCCAATGAGAAATCAAGGTAAGATGGATCAAGGTAACTCCTGGTCTTGGGGTGGTTTTGCAGTTGAAACACGGACAGATTTCACAAGCCTAAAGGTCAGTACTGTTTATGTTTTTGCCTCAGCATAAAACATTCTGCTGGCAAATGTTATGTAGGTGATGCCCAAAGATGCTCCCAGTACCAGAGCCAGAATTAAAGCTGCCCTGGTAGGTTGGTCAAACTGCAGTGGTTGAGGTGCTCTGTAGATTTAGGGCTTTGAGAAGAGTTTTGGAAACCCAGCAGCCAATGCTGACTGGATCTTTGTTGCTTACTGAGACCCTTCTGAGAAGACAAAGGACTCTGCATGATTCAATGTCAATCAAGCAAAAGCCATTTATTGTGCCTCTAAACATAATTTATATTCACTTCTTGTCTTGGTCTACACAGTCATGCATTGTTTAATTGGCAGCTCTGCTTTGTCCACAAGGCAAGCACGCATCCTTTTATTAAACCAATTGGTAGGAGCTGTAAGAATCATTTTACTGGGGTTGACACCCCTGTGTCTGCCAGCAACTGTTCTGCCTCTTTTTTCTTCTTGCAACATCAATTTTTTTATCCACAAAGATGACTCCCTCTTTAGTTCCAGAAGGTTGGGCTAGTTCATTTAGTACACATCCATGTTCCTGTGAATATGATCCTACACCTTTCCAGTAACAGCATCACACAACAGCTCAAAAAAGCCTTTCAGAGATAAAAGAAGCAAAATTCCAGTTTGCAGTGCATAAAAAAAAAAAAAAAAGCTAAATCTGAGATAATCCATTAGCAAACAGTTCATGCAGAAAAATTTACTTTGTGTGGTACATAATGCAAAAATTAGTATTTAGAGAGTTGGGTCACTTATGCTGTTGTTAATTGTTTATAATAAAAAGCATTATGTCTTAACTAAGGCCTTGACATCAGGATGAGTGAATTTTGTAGGCTGTGGAATAACATGTGGAATAACATTTACATGATAAATACACAGGGGACAAATGTCAGGGATTTGGAATGTTGTGTGTAGGCCGTCTGTAAATATGCTGTGGTAAAGTGTAACTGTGTGTGTGTGGGGGGGAAGGTTACATACACAGTGTTATGGTATCTAAAATATTTCAAATGTGTACAGGAACACTCAGCTAAGGCCAGTGTTTATTTTCTGGTATGCCCAGCTGTCTGTTCATGATGATCTACCTGATATGATACTGGTGGCTCTTTGTTCTTAGCTCAGATTGCTTTTATCCAAGACGTGGGGAGGCTGCCACTGAAAAGACATTTTGGGAGGTAAGCTGAACTTCTGTCTGCAGTTAAAAAGTGTCATATATCAAGGGGAAGAGCCCTTTCATTTACATAAGTCTGTGATGTGACATTCAAAGACAAAATATTTTTAAAGGTTTATTTCATCTGAAATCAGATAGAAGTTTTACCTGTAAGGCTACTTAGAGTGAATCTTTGTTGGTGTGGTTTTGGCAAAGAATCAAGTTCACAGCTGCAGTGAGACAAACTGTTATCTCCCAACTAGGACAGAGTTTATTGAGGCTTCTGACAGAGCATCTACTTGTCCCTGGTGTTGCTGCTGAGTGTAACTGTGAATTTCCAAGCTGTTGCATTAAAAGCCATTTTGGTTGTTAGTCAGGGAGGAAGGAGAGTGTCCCTGAGGGGTGTATTTCTTTGTAATCCCCTTGGTCTGTGCCACAAGGTGTGACGTTTCTCAAATTAACTGTAACTTCCTTGTCCCTTTTAAGTTTCCCTGCAGCTTGCCAGTGGATACTGACATTTTGTATCTGCATTAATAAGCTGGCGGGGTGTCACAGTGTCTGATGCGAGGGGTGACACCATGCTGACAGCACCGTGATCCTTTTCATCTGTTCAGTAGTACAGAGAAATGCAGGTGTCCTGCTAGAGAGCACAGTGTGTTCCTGGGCACTGCCTCTGCCGGAG